TAACTATTTTATATTCAAACTCAGTTTCTGGTGTATTTTAAAACATCTGTGATTCTATACGAAATGTATTGTATTTATTTCATGTTACTGCATTATGCATAGCCTTTTTTTAGACAATATAAGAATTTCAGTACTTTTCCTACCTCAGACTTAGGGTCTCAATAGGTTGGTTTTTTAGGAAATGGTCTTTCATTTCCAAGACTGGGAAAGATTGCTTCGTACAATCAGCAACATTTCTCCCGTTGACTTCTGCGCTGGCAAGATTAGGCTTCCCTGTACCCCTTTACAAAATCATTCTTACAAAACACATTTGCTTTACTCACAAAATAAAGCTGCCAATATCTCATTTATTTGTGTCTCAAGGAAACATTTTTCTTGTAAAAGACTGTGCATTATAATGCTTAATACAAAAGTGGCTGAACAAAGAAACTCAGTTTGAACCGACTCGGACAAGAATACTTACAGATTTTCTGCTATGCAAACTTTAAGTTCTTTTGCAATCAGGCACCCAGTATCCCGTAGTACTGTTTCCACAGTGCATTGTGGTGTGACCGCGAGGGCTCCTCTTGCCATCTCTGTAGCACTTCTTGCCAGACAAGCGCAGAAGTGCTGAAACGTAACACTATTTAAAACCCCTTTAGGCCTGCTCCTGTCCTGCATTCTTTTACATGCAAAAATGTATTCTTTCAGTCAAGTAGATTTTTGATTGCATAAAAAATCCTAGTTCTGTTTGTGTGCAGATTTAAATGTGATTAAACAAACACTGAGATCAAACAGTAGCATTGCAAAGTGTGCAATGTTAAGCATGTATTCAGGTCTTCCTGGGAGTTAGACCTGCATTACAAAGAAGTTTTATAAATATATCCACAGCTTAAATAGCAGGGCTTTTACCACAGGCGCTGGATCTTATTATTTTTACCCATTCCAAAGTTCCTGTTTGCTTTCTTGGGTCCTTTGTAGGAGTTGAATGAGGATTTCAGAAACCACACAAAACACCATGCAGAAAGATTTTTAGATTATTTGTTAGCATTTCTACACAGTACTAATGTCTCAACAACCCTTTTCAAACTGATCAAGGTTCAGAGCTTGCAGTTCTTCCTCAGTCTGTGTTGGTACAAGCTCACATTCAATTCACAATTAAAACTAAATAGTAGCCTTAGCATCTGCCTTACTGTTTTTGATATGAGTTATAATGTTGTATGGCTTTTGTCTCATATTCTTAAGGAAACAAAAGAGCTCACAAAAATTATATAAGACAAACAGTTTTAAGATCAACTTTTATTGAAAAATTAAAACTGCGTTGCATATCTTCTTTATAATTTTGACATTTCTTAAACCACAAAACAGAGATTCTGTTTAAAAAATCTCTTTGTCACCGTTCAAAAAACAGATTAGGAACTAAGTTGACAATTTTAAAATCCTGGGTTATTCCCAAGGCCCCTGGTTGTGTCTGTCTGCTGTGAATGATATAATTTCTCTTCTCTAAAAAGTACCTTTAACAATACCATCAGAATTTTTCTCATTCAAAATCAACAGCTGCTGTTGATCTTTATCCAATGGTCAGTCTTTTCCAAATAAATCACAACAGTTAATAAGCATGCAGCTACATGTTCAGCTAAGACCTTGACTATTGTTTATTTGATCTGAATTCACCCACACAAAATTACAGTGACTGTCTGAGTGATATTAAAGGCAAAATTGCTACCTTAGAGTATATTTTAAACCTCAGCAAAACAAAGTTACTCACCTGGAATTGCTATGCTTTGAATTAGTCAACATTTCTGTATATCCATACTTCCTGAACTCTCAATAGTGTATGGACTAACAAGCAGGAAAATTCCAGGTAAGCTTTTGTCTGAGGACATGTAACATATTACTCAGATGAAAATTACCTACTGAGAAGAAAACACAGATGAGTTTTTTCACTGATGACAGTAACTGCTCTGTTAAAATCGGCTAAGTCAGAAATTAATATGAGCCCTGTGCCTGTGGAAGCAGGTACATGTAATAGGGAAACACTCCCGAGTCTGATATTAGAATTAAAAGCTTTGCAAAAATCTAATTGTGGGTATCATCTGTGTCAAGACACAACACTGCAGAAAGGCAAGACGAAATGCAGAGTGTAGAAAGACAAAGTTAAACCCCCTGTCTTTAGAGAAAACACCTCTGTGTTAACTGTCTCACTTCTGAAACAGGAAGGAGGAGCTCCATTATTCCCACCTAGCTGCAAACCGTCGATGGCAATAGTTAGAACCTCTGACGCTTTTGACCTTCAAAACACAAGATACTGAAGGAGAAGTTTTAGCGAGCAAATCATTGTATATGTGCCAAAGAGATCTAGATCTATTTCTGACTATGTCGCAGGGCTGTCCAAGGCTTGCTGTATGAATGCCCATAAGCTGTATTGTGGTCTTCCCTATAGTTTCATATTAATTTACATGAGGATGATTACCTAGTTTTTATGCTTCAAGGAGATATAACATTTAAAATACAATAAATTATTATTAGAATATTGAGATGATGATCTGGATACAAGGTCCATGAGATTAAAATATTGCGGTTAGAGGATTAAAGGTAAATTGGGATCTTTAGTAATACTGTTGCTGAAATATCTTGACTAGGGAGGTGGAGGAAGTCAGAAATTCCCACCTAAGAACTGTCTGAAGAAATCACAGGGGCCATGGTGCTGTTTGTTTGGAACATGTAAAATCCCCTACTATGTCGGCAGTTATATATCTTTGCATTTTATGCTAGTTCATATTGTTTCTCATAAACAAGAAGGAGTGAGGGAAATCTTTCAATCTGCTGTAGCTGCCCTTTGAATAAAGTAAAACTGTGACAAGGACCAGATTTCAGGCAGAAGCCTGGAAATTGAAATGTGACATGTACTTCCTCTTCAAAACAAACTTCTTTCTGTACTCTAAAACCAGGTCTCAATGAAAGGCCCTCTAGTTTTGATGAATAGCTGATATCTAAGAAGGGCATTTAATATTATGGAAATTGGCACAGAAGTCAATGTTCAGGCTGACTAGTTCTGTATTGCAGGCCTCAGGTCATACAGCATGGATGTTTACATCAAGAAATGTTAAGAATTGAAGACATGGCAAGATATCAGGGTTATAATGAAGGAAGATTGAGGTTTAAGATCAAGAAGGCAAGAAACCAACTACACAGTCTTGAGGAAAATAACCTAATGAAATAAGTACTGTTCTGGTGAGATTTCAGAGGGGGGTTCATGGCATAAAAATAACAATGTAGATAATCTCTTGAAAGTCATACTCATAAATCTAAAAGACAGTGACAAATTTATAATAATTTTTAGATTCAACTCAAACATTTTTAAGAAGAAGTTTTACAGAAGGTTATGGAAGAGGGAGAAGCAATAGTCCTATGAAAAGCTGGAAAGGCTGTGCTATATGATACAGCATTTACCATGACAGCTTCTTCCTTCTCTGACGCAACCAAAGACGTAAGACAGCATCTTCAGAAGACAATCAGTGGAACCTGCAGGACGGACATCTCTCCTGGCTGTAGCTGTCCTTCTACAGGACCGAAGGGAGAAAGAGACGCTGCGAAAACCACATAGCATGACTGCATTTCACTGAATGTTTCTAAAATAATTTAATTTTATTATCGATTTTGGAAGAAAAAAATTACTGACTTGCATAGAAGATAGCTATAGAATCATGTATGAAAATATTTGAGATTAGCATATTCCATTTATCACCATGACAGTAACTCTGTAGACAGAGGATTATTGAATCTTCATTTTGTTCCATTACTCTGCTTCCAGTATGGACTTTTCCACTTGGTAGTATTGATTATCTAATGATTAAAACTGAACAAGCTGCAGATGACTCTGGTGTCTATACTTTGACAAGTCTAGCCAGTTGTAATTGTTGTGACAAGCCAGCTGTATTTAAAAATTCTGAGATTATTTTTGGTTTTATTTATTTTATAAGCTCCAAACACATAGAGAATTCCATTTCACCAGAAGAATGATGCTGGTTAAAGCATCCACAAAATTTAGTTAAAATTGTCATAGAGATTAGTCTTGAAATATAACTCAAAAACAGGGGCCTTAGTTAGCAACCAACATTCACTAGAAAAGCATTCAGAACACTGAACAGACAGTCTGACATTACAATAAATAAAACTGGAAATTCTAATAGATTAAAGGGAGCTCATCATTTGACGGTCTATACACAATGTTAGAATTCCTTATATTCAGTAGAATTATCTGTAAGTTATTATTTTAAGGGCACCAGGACCTAAATGAAAGTGTCAATTAATATTTTTGTATTTTTTCTTTGGCTCACAAAGACACTAAAATACCATAAACATTATTTAGAACTTCAATAATATATAAATAGGATACATTACAAACGGAAGAAAATACAAGACGACTCTTCAGCATGGTAAATCTCTGCATATAAATAAGCAAGTATTTCATATACCTACAATTCAACAGTTATCTTGCTGTAAAACTATTACATTTAAATCCTTTTACACAAAGTCATTTAACAATAATATACACAATCTACACAAATTAACCTCTAAAAATACAGCAATAATATACCTGTTACAATGACTTTGCTACTGTTATCCCCTGATGTGACACTAAAGGGGAAATACAACTATTTTACTTGAAGGTGCTGTTAGAGATTGCTGTTCTGTATGTGAGAGAAGCACCAACAATAAGATTTAATGCTGTTATACATTTTCTTTAGCTCCTAAGAACCTACATTTTAGAAATGTTTCTATATGTCTATTTTTACCTGGCAGAAAAATCTGTAGCACATTATCCACATCATTAGTTGTTGAAGGAAAAATTAATTGTCTTAAAGTGGAAAACATGCTGTGGCTTAGATCTAAGTTTATAACCACTTTATATATATATATATATATATGTATATATATATATAATTATATATGTATTTA